GCGCGGGGCGACGTTCACGCACTCGTTCTTTCATTCCATTCATTCACGCACACACGCACACTTGTCGCATTTATAATGTATCTCTTTTCTATAATAATTAAACGCGAATTTAACATTTCCAACAGTTTTTTATTTTCTTGTTCTGAATTGAACTGAACACATGTTTTTTTTTCATTTAAATTCATTATTAGGTTTATCTAATTCGAGTAAAACAATAATGACTACATGTTTAAATCTTATATGTATTATTATTTTACATTCCCTATTTTTTCTGGTAATTAAAAATAAGCGTAAAAATCCAGCACTTTGTGATTTATGGAAACCAAGGCAGGCTTACTCAAACAAACGTTACTGATACTGACGTTGTGATGAGGACCGACGGATGATGTTTTCCAGGAATGTGTTTTGTGGGGCCACTAGCCCCCGGCGGCCGCCCGGCATGCCGGGGTCGCGTCACATGCCTCGCACGACCCGCCGCGACCCGCCGCGACCCGCCGCACCCGCCGACACCCTAAGAGGCCCGCCGCCACCGAATACCTTTTGCGGCCTCGAACAGTCCCTGCTTTCACGACCAATGTGTCTTCGATTTCTTTGCTTTTGCTTCGACTGTTACCTAGTAAAATTAAAACAAGAACAATTATATTATACTTATTTACGCTCGCAAGTTATTGTAGTTAAAGATTTCCGGAGAAAGGTTGAATTTGAAAAGAAATAATAATCTATGGATAATATGTGACATGTGTTCAACGTGAGCTGGCAACTCTGATCGCGCGCTCTGATCTGAGGGAGACGCGAGGCGACCGCTCGCCGCGCCCCACCGCACCCCACCGCACCCCACCGCGCCCAATGCGCCCGCCCGTCGCAAGGCCGCCCTTTTAATCACAAACGAATTCATATGGTTTCTTAAGATTCCGCGGCGGCAAAGCGAGAAAGTTTTTTAAATGCAGAAAATAACTATTATTTTTCACAAGTCTTATCTCTATGTTACAAAAATGTCCTTGCGTTTTCTCTGTCTCCCCCCCCCCCCCCCCC